AGTGCTTGCAGGTAGTAGGTATTTAATACTGGCCCCGTGAATGACAGCACGCAGGTGGCTTTCTCCTTGGGCTTTCCTCCAGATCAGTTTGTTTGAGCAACTGTCTGGTCCCCCAACCCCCGCCCCCAGTTTAGCTGCTCCTATCCTTCCAGACACCCCGCGGAAAATGGGACTAGACAGTATATCCAGCATGCACTGGCTGTATGGGGTGGATTCCCTGCCTAAGGACTGCCTTCTCTACAGGACCAGGTTAGAGGCTTCCCTCTGTTGGTGGGGGAGGGGGCAGGGTACCAAGTCCCTCAGCATGAGCGGCATGCCAGTTGCTCCCTAGTCCCATAGGGTTCAGACACTGCCGCCTTTGTTCTGAGACCCACGGAAGTCTCATGCTTTCCTCCTTGCCCGGGTGCCCTCCGGAATGGCTTATTTGGCTACCCTGCATTCTTTCTGATGCTGGGATGTCTGCAAGGGGAGGGACAAGGGTAAATCCAAGAGCCTGGCTGGAGGTCAAGGATGGATAGCCAGAGCAGAACTGTGTAGTCTGGCGGCAAAGTCTTAGCCTTGATTTTGTCTGCCAGCTGTTACCGAATCACATACACACTGGCAGAAAGTTAGTTTTATCATCTGGAAAATGCGGTTGTCACAAGTTTTATTTTTTTTCCCCCATTTTGAAAGACACACGAGGGTCAGCAAAGTGAATTCATTTCAACATTACAGAACTTGCTTTTTTAAAAACCCCAGCCAGTCTTTGACTTTTTTTTTTAAATCTTCTCATAATGCAGCATAAAGTGTCACAGAGAGGTTCAGTCAGTTGTCATTTCCCATATCATTTGTACCACACTCCAGTAGGTTCGTCTTTGGGTCATGTTACACAAGATCATAGATCCACCGCAGTGTGTTTCCTAAGCCACGCAGCATGGTGCGGAGGGCTTAGAGCTTGCTCTTACACAGACTGAAGCCAAGGCCGCTAGTCAATGAGCCTGAAACTTGGCTAGTCATGATTCACAAGGTAACAAGCCCGTGTAGGTGATCTGGGTGTAGCAGAAGAGCTACTTTAACGGATCTTCTGCAAACTTCACTTCTGAAGAGTGTTTCCTATCGCCATGGGCCCGTGCTTACTTCCCTTCCTCCTCCTCAGAGGGGTGATGGGAACGGAGCCTATGAGAATCATGTACTCTGCCACTGAGGTGCACCCTCTACCCCCAGATGCATAATTAAATGCTCTACTTCATTACCACCTCTGCCCAGATGCAAACCCTTGGTGCGCTGTTAGCTCCTGTTCTGTACCTCCGATTACCCACGTGGCATTTTCATTTGGGATTATAGGATCCTTTGCTCTACCTCCCTCATACTGGAATGAAGAAAGTCCAGAGAGGTAGTGTGGCTTTGCCAAATAAACAGGATGTCAGACTCCCCCTCTTTCTAGCGAACAGGTGAGGGGCTGTTAGCACTGTTCATGGGAGACAGGATATCCGCACACCCCCATACGGTGACAACCCAAGTCGTGATCCTCCAAGACCCGCCTCCTGAATTTTCAGTCTCCGTGAAACAGAAGCCCCGAGAAGATGAGTTCACAGGCCCACACGCATGACCCTCCGCTGCTTGTCCCCAAACGGCATTCATCAGGAGCTCACATTTTATCCTGTTGACATATGCCTGGAGGAGTGACTATGAGAATTGGCTGTCACTGTATTGTCTGAGCCTGGATCTCCTCAACTCACACTTCTTTCCCCAGCCTCCAAGGGCGCACCAAACACTTAAGTTCTATTGGTGTGGTCCCTACTGGCTCCTTCTTTGGGTTCCGCATCTCTCTACTTCGCTCCCAAACTCCAGCCCTTATCTCCTTGGACCAGAGAGAACTTCATCTCTTACTTCTAACATTTCCTTCTTCCACTGTTTCCTTTCAGAATACAAAGTCTCAGAAGATGTCTCTGTATCTGCCCTTGGACACAATCCCTTATCCAATTTTGCCCTACACTTTGTTTGCCCTACCTGAACATTTTACCCTGTGAATTCTAAGCCTCACTTAGACAGAAAGGCTCCGATTAGGAGCGCTCTACCTGGCTGTGAGACTCTGGACCTGAAAGCAGGCAAATACGGCCTGCGCCGCTATGACAACCATGAAGGAATGCAGCGGCGGCAGCAGGCAGAAGGCTGGAAACGCCATCTCGTGCCAAGCACTGCACAGAGCTGCTATATGCATTATTTTATTAACCTTCACAAAATCCCTATGAAGTAAGACCAATTATTAGCATCATGTAACAGAAGCAGAAACCCATGCTCAGAGGTGTCAAGGCATTTACCAAAGGTCACAGATCCAGGACCCAAACAGATGGAATTCATATGTAATTCTATCAGACAGCCAAGCCATGCTCCTAACCTCTAGGCTGTGTTGCCTTAAGGCTATTTTCCTCCTCCTCCTGCCCCTTGCTCGTCTCAGACACTCATTTGCAATTTTTTGTGTTATCAGCATTTTACCTAGCATCCTCTTCAGTGAGCATCTTTCTTGTCCCTGGTCACACAGTAAGCCACGAGAACAGGAATTACACTTCTGGGCCCTTAGAGGTTTCGTCCCATGTGCACACTGCTCACGGAACAGGAGACTAAAGGACTCCACCTGCCATTAGTTTGCGTTTCTTTCTTTTTAAGAACTCTTCCTTGAGTGTGTTCCCCTCCCAGGACTGCGGGGAGGTAAGGAATGTACCCTAAAGAGAGGAGAAGACCTGTGTTCAGGACCTGAATCTTCTAGCCAGGTATAGAACCTTTCTGTGTGTCCTTGGGACACTACACACGAAAATTACATACTAAAAAACAGTTTTATGCACCATTTTTTAATTTAATTTAATTTTTTTAAAAAAAACCTACCTACTGTATGCAAATGGCCTTCAGGCAGTGCATGCAGGATACATATGAAACACAGATGAATTCTGTTTAGATTTGTGTCCTGCATCTACAATGTCTCTTATATAAACATTTCAAAACCCACAAAACCTGAAACTCTGAACACTTTTGGCCCCAAGCCTTTTCAGATAAAGAACGCTGGTTTGGTTCTGTATTTGCACTGCTCTGTCTAGAGACAGGCCCAGCAGCGTTGCTGGGCTGACTTGGGAATTTGGAAGCTTTTACTCCTGAGGCCTTTGCACGGTTACAGATATTCCAAGGGGAAGTTAAAGTTCCCCCAACTCCTCTACTGGGAACCACTGTGGGACCGGATTACTTTCCTGAGGATGAGAAATGCAGCTGACAGCCACACAGCCCTGTTTATACATGACTACGGTATGTCTGCTAACTGATCCATGTGAAATTACCACCGTGGGCCCACACAGATCATTCTGTATATGGAAAAATGTTAACTTGGGGCTCAATCATCAGGAAGCTTGTAGACATCAGGTTAGTAGTCTTCTTTCTCTCTCTCTCTCTCTCTCTCTCTCTCTCTCTCTCTCTCTCTCTTGCTTGTCCTGACATCCTGGGATATTAATTAAGACAATGTGTTGGTCTGAATTCATGGCAGTCCTAAGTTTCTAGAATCCAAGAAACAAAATGCAAGAAAAGCTGAAGGCGCCACCCCTGAGTAAGACACAGGGCTCTGCTAGTGGGCTCTGCTGCCTCCTGCCATCTCCATCCCAGAAGCTCTGTCTTCTGTAAGGCCCACACCTGTCTACAGAGGCCTTCACATGCACTGGCAGCACCTGCGCTGCCTCCCTCTTTCCTGTTCCCAGAGGAAGGAGCAGGCAGCCTCCTTGTCCCAGAGGCCCCGCAAAGTCACCTCTACCTCCCAGTCCCTCACCTTTCAAAGATGTCCATGCCTTATGCGTGCCCTCTGTGTGCTCGGCATGTTAAACACCAAAGGTTTCGCAGAGCCTCAGCCCCCAGGGTGAGGGGTGGGGGAGGCAGATGGCCTGCATCTGGAAGCCATCATCAGCTCCCAAGCTATGTTAGCAAAGTAAAACCCACCATTTGTTACAGGGGAAAGTGACAGCTGTAGATTTTTTCCCCTCCCCTTTTAGTCTCTTACAAGACCGCTTGAAACGGAATTGAAGCTAATGAAGCAGGCTGGTACGCAAACAGACTTGCTCAGCCCACTCAGGCGGTGTCTCTGTGCCTGCCTCCAAAACTACTTTGAACCCGAGGAATAGCTTTGTGGGTGGAGACTCAGAAAGCACACACCTTCTAAAGGCAGGGGCCCAGGAACTGTGGTCGTTGCATAGGAAAGGATCACAGTTATTAGGCCAGTGCAAATACGGAGCGTTGGAACACAAGTCTGCTTCTGAACTATGGTGACAGTGTGTGGGTGTGACCATAGTAAAAACTGTGCAGAGCTGTTCACACTTGCTCTGGTTCTATGCAAGGGAAATTAACGTCTGAAGGCTCAGGTCCATAAACTACACTGAAGTCAACTTCCTGGTTTTGCTAGGGGACTAGGGTGACGTAGAATGTTACTGCTAGGGAACCGGTACAGGGACCTGCCTATGATTTCTTGACATCTTGTCAATCAATAGTGATGTTAAAATAGAATGTGAAAAGCAAACAGATGAAAATCCAGTGCAGTGGGAATGGACTTGGACTCATATCCCCAAGGTCCTGAGACACAAGTTCTAATGCTATTTCATAAGGGGTTGGAGACCAGCCCATTTATAACAGTGACGTTATCACCATCATTGCCACCATCACCTACCATCATTATCATCATCAGTGCTTGAAGTTGGTGAATACTATGAATGAAACTTTTCCTTCTTTCTCTCCCTCCCTCCCTTCCATTTTCCTAATTGCATATAACACCTGAACCAGACTCTCATGCCACAGAGGGCCCGGGGAGAAGCTAGCTGGTGGCACCGTCACACTGTTTTGGTGCACTCAGCCTCTGACCCAGGAAGAACAAACAGGGCTTTGTGAAGCTCGCCACCTTCCAAGCCAGCCGATGTGCCCTCTTGTTCCTTACTCCCACGTTAGCCAGAGAGCCCAGTGAGCTCTATCTGCGCCAAAGCCACAAACACAGCACTTACAGGTTCTTCACGTCTGTGATGCCGCGGAACGCCTTCCTCGGGATGCCCTGGATCTGGTTCTCGCTCAGATCTCTAAACAAGAAGAGAAGAGGCAAACCAGTTAGACGGAGACGGCATTCTCTGCATCTCATTATGATAACAAAACCCTTGAAGGCTGCTGGTGCTGCCCACCAGAAGTGTTTGAGGGGCTGTTTAGACTCAGGCCCCTGGCTGTTACAAGCCTGTACATTGTTCTGCAAGTGAGGACCTTAGCAGAAAAGGTTACTAGGCTGGGAGCAGCTTGCCTGTGTGTGTGTGTGGGGGGGGGGGGGCACTGTGGGTGGTCTCACACCTCCAGGCCACAGCCAAGACTCCCGGTTATTTGTTACACACACCACACCCCATTCAGTTTTGGCACTTCCCAGAGAAAAGAGAAGACCCTTACTCCCTCCCCCGCAAGACATTCCTCCCAACTCAAGGTCAACACCACTCAATCTCCCATTTCTCAGGAAGTTCTTTTGCCCAAGTTCCCTGCTCTTAGCATTTGGGATTGAAACTGAGCCTGCTCCCTGGGTTTTCTGATAGGGAAAGAGGATCTCTTATGCATCTCCACACAGTCCAAAATGGGGGTCTCGCCCTTCACTCTGCACTGAGGAATGCCAACACACTGGCTACTTCGAAGTGGATGTGCGGAGTGTGGTGTGTGGCTGGCTCCAACCCAAATCTTCTCCAAGGATTTAAGTGTCTTCTAGAGCCTCGATTTCCTTCCCATCCCTGCAGGCCTTTTTGGATTGTTTTGTTCTCTGGTTTCGTTTTTATTTTTTGCTAGACCAAACACGTGCATTTGTTTTCATTCAGACATCAAGCCTGCTTGGATCTCAGTGAGCAATCAATCCGTAAAGACCCATCTGAGCCCCAGGCGCCTGAGGCAGCTCCGCCAAACACTGCAGGCAGCAAGGCTATTTCTGTGCAGCCACACGCTGCAGGAGCATCTTCAAGGAGGACAGTGGGAAGGGGACGCATGGGTGAAGATGGGACTGTCCGACTGCCGCCCATCTGTGCTTCTTTTCAGATATGAAAAGTAAATACACATATACACAAATATACATGCCTGGTAGTTTGAAAAGAACCCCCCCCCCCAATAATGAGGGGAAAAAATTCAACCACAGACCATAAACACTGCTAACAATTATGCAGAGAGCATATATATTTTATTGACATGACCTAATATAAGGTCTATTCTAAACCATTTTTCACATGCTATATTGAGAACATCTGTCTATGTCTCTACCAAGTGCATCAATGCCAACATTTTTAATGGCAGCACGGTATCTAATTGTATGGTGCATTGTATGACTGGGATTGTTCAGTGGGTGTTGGTTCTACTTCTGTCACATAAAGAAACATGAGATGGGCAAGATGGCTTAGCAGGTAAGGACCTTGCTACCAGATCCAACAACCTGAATTTCATCTCTGGGACCCACAGGGAAGGAGAAAAGAACTAACTCCTACAAGCTGCCCTCTGTCCTTCACATATGTGCCACAGCATGTGCACACACGTGCACGCACACACATCATGCAAAATGGGAAAAGAATTTTTTAAAGAAAGGGAAACCCCAGGACAAATTTCTCCATCCCCACCCTTGGGGACACGTCTCGGGAACTCGCACTGCACAAGATCCTGAACCAAGAGCTTGTGCCGTAGGTTAAACTCATCTTTGCCAAGTTCACCTGCAGAGAGATTTGTGATGGATGGATGCTCACAGGCTGGGTTTTGACACCACCTCCTCATAGGCTACTGAGGACTTCAAACATATATGGAAGTAGATGGGAGACAGCCACGGTCTACGTACGGAAACTCGGGCACTCTTCAGGGACGCTTTGCAAAAAGGGAGGAGGGGAAATAAGACAGCAGAAGAGAGACATCATCCATTTTTTTTCCTTCTGTCACCTGCCGATAAATGACACACGCTTTGAGCAGCTGGCTGAACTTCAGGAGAGCCGGGCTCGCTTTGGCTACTTTTCGGCTCCAAGGCTTACTGTTGGGGTAGGATGTCCCTGCGAGTCCCAGACACCTCTGGGGCTGCCTAGCAGGGTGCTTCCCCATCTCAAATTCAGTTTCCCCTTTCTACCACCGAAGTAAGTAAATTCTGGTGCATAATGAGCTCTGGTGCAGGCTCCCCCAGCCAGGCCCTGATTCAATGAGCAGGGCTCCAGCCTGGAGTCGGGGCACTGAACAAAAGCCCACGATGACAGGCAGAGGTCAGGCGGTGTCACCCAGGCCACTCGGCTGCTCTCCATCAGCCTCCAGAGAGGGGGCCCAGGCTCTGTCATCCGACTAATGCAATTTCCACCGGGCATCTGGGCGGCCATGGAGGCTCCCGCAGCCACAATAGGCCCAGTCTTCCCTGCCGAGGCCTGTCGGTCTGCGGACCACGAGCTCCTTGTTTAATAACCTCTCAGCCTTTGCTGTTATCGTTGGCTGCTAGGGAGAGCAGGCCTGGCCACAAGGCTGATAAATGAGAAAAATCAGGGAAAAGGAGGGAAGAAATCAAATACAAAGAAGGTTTAGAACTGGCAGCTTTAACCCCTGCTGGAAGCCGGAAGCGGTGGCACCTATTCTAGAAAGGGCGTTAACTTATTTTGAACAGGACATACACTGAAACATTCTGGAGAAGCACGGTTGTGCAGAAGTTCTGCCTGATAGTGGGGGCGGTGAAGAGAGGAGCATAGTACTTAAACAGAGCGAGATGGTGTACTAAGGGGAGCCCGTTCTCATAGGCAGCCCTCGGGGAAAAGCCTGTATTTGGGTGAAACAGCTGCTTTGGTTTTTCTGGTCCCACATCCTTCCTGTACATGTGTCCAGCTTTCTTTTGACTTTAGAGAACCCAGCAGAGGCACAGTTTTCTTTCCTGTCTCCTGGTCACTGTATTTGCCCTGTCCAGACCGTGTAAAACAGCAGACAGGGAATTTATCTGCTCCCCGTGACAATCCGCTTGTAAATTTTATTAATTTTATTTTCTACTGAACCCTCTCTACTATGGCTAACAATGCCACAGCCACGCATCTGCGGGATTGTATATTGATTTCATAAATACCTCCAGTGGGCTGACAAACTGACAGATTTAATGGTGTTGCTGATGGGGCATGGAGGAGGGCTCGGGGCTGGGTGCTTCATTTTCGGTAACCATCCCTTCACAATTATGGCAGGGCCTTTGTGAGCTTTCCTAAGAGTGTGTTTATCTCAGTATGATGTCTGAGCACAGAGCTATTGCCGGGTCCGATCCTCCAGAGAGACAAGAGCCACCATTTTGGCTGACAATTAAATAAAAATAACAAAATCTATCCATGACGCGTAAGAGCCTAGTTCTCGTCAACTGCTTTTTCGGGTTTTAGTGTCTGTGAGAAAGAAACACGCAGAAGTGACCAGAATGGCACCCCCTCCCCCAAACAGAAGGGAGGCACAGGTTAAAGAAAGGCTGACTAGGGCAAAGCGTGCTGGGCCTTTCAGGGTGCCAGGAAGAAAGATGGCAGGTCGGGAAGGCTTTCTTGGTTGGGAAGTGGGCTATGGATCAGGATGCCTTTTTAAATAATTAGGTTTCTGAAAGCTAAGGAGAACTGCATTAGCTAAAGTGCAGTTTCCAGCTTCCGGAAAATGATTAACTGCCTGATTATTCTGTCCCAAAACACAGGACCAAGGAGGACTTATTAAGGAAACAGCAAGTCAAATGGGAGTTGGCAAGAATGGACATATCCCACATCCAGCCAGCCCTCCCACAACCCTTTTAATTTACTAAAATGCTTTGGACACAGATTAACTTTCTTGGCAAATTTATTATTGCTTCATCTACCTTAAAACAGGAACCATGGACACTTTGATAAATGGATTGAAAGGTTGTCTAGTTGCAGAGACGCCTTTGAAATGCTTCCGGGGCTCTCCCCGCAATGTCAGGCATGCTTTGTTCTCAGGGCAGCAGTGAATGACGGCCCTGCAGGACTTGAGCTGAAAACACTCTGGCGGGTATACCGGTCCCAAGTACGTTTATTCCAACTTGCCCGGATTAAATGGCAGTTTACACGTGGGGATGGGGGTGGGGGATGGGAGGTATGCGTTGAGGTTTCTAACCCAATGATTATAAACTGGTAAGATGGGTGGGAACTTCCAGAAACATTGTGAGCACTTGTTTCTGAAGAGCATGGCACGACTTCTAAGTTGTATGATCATTCAAGTTGGTTCAATACTCTGATTCCGTTCCCTCATCTTTCAAATGGGGTTACTGGTATACCAGCTTCCTCAATTCTGGGCGCAAACTGTGGGCCCATGTAATGCACTCTGGGTACTTGGAGCACGGGGGACATTCTGCAAACGGGGCTTTTACTCCCTGAGCTTCTTCCTCCTTTAGGTTTGGATTTATGTAGCTAAACGTGTTCCCAGTCATCGCCCACAGGACACGAACTTAAAACTGGGCACAGAATAAAACACACTAGTATTACTCGTATTCCTTCTACAAAATCTGAGGGGAGACGAACGCTTCCCTTGTCTAGAATCTACAAAGGAACGCTTTCCTTGTCTAGAAGGACTCTCTATGTTTGATTCCACATCGCTTCATTGTGGTTGAAACAATAGAGGCTAATTGAAGAAAAAGGCTGAGACCCTCCAGGGAAGCAGATGAGCGCACTGCTCAGCCATCCTCAGAGAAGCTTCCTCCTGCAGCAGTGGGAACGAATAGAGAGACCCACAGCAAGAAAAGACAGAGTGACAAACCTCGGGATACTCAGCCCTAAACAGGATATCTCCATTAAATCCCTCCCCTCAGGGCTCAGGGGACTCTGCCATAGAAGAGGTGGAAAGAGTGTTTGAGCCAGAGGGGATGGAGGACACCAAGGAAACAAGACCTTCTAAAGAGAGCAGGACTGACACACATCTAATCTGAGACAGACTGTGACAGCAGGCACTGGGCCTCCACAGGTCTGCATCAGATGGGGTCCTAGAGCCGAGAGGAGACGTGGACACATGGGGGTCTCCCTCCCTAAAACAGGAGCGAACCACTTGCAAATAAAAAGTTGTCTCCAAGGGAATCTCACTGGGGAAA